ATTATCTTCTTCTGATGAGCCTGTGCTTATTAGAGTTTTCATTCCACTGTGCTAAAGAATGTTGAACTCCTCAGGGTTTTTGGATGGTCAATCCAATTGTCTCTTATCCAAGAATAGATGTAAGCTAGTCTCATGAAATGGAATAATCATTGTGGACCAGCCAATTGGTCCAAATAGGATTATTTCTTCTTCTGGGATTGTCATTTATATCTGGTGAAGAGCCTTCAAGAAATAGTGTTAACAATTTAATGTGACAGTCTCTTCTTTCACTATTTGTTCATCAAATTCTCAGTTTGGGTAAAGTAGAAATACTCCCTTCACCTCACTTTCCTACTGGTCTTTTTCAAAGGGATAAAAAAACTTTCTACAAGACAAAAAGATGCTATCAGTTGCATATATTAATACAGACAATTTCCCTCAGGCTTTCATTTGACACACCGTGGATTTAACCAAAAAAAAAAGTCAGATTCTCTTCCAAGATAAGTGAGTTATAACAGATTCACATTCCTAGATATCACAGAATGTGAAAGATTGTGAGCAGGCTAAAAGAATTTAGAACCCGGGGAGAGCCTTTGGGCACTATGATATTCCATCTAACCCCTTCAAGTCTCATGACCTAATTCTTTTCATCATAGAGTGACAGGAGCTTGGCTGACTATTCATCTGCGCCCTCTATTACATTCCCATATAGGTGGGTCATGTATGTATTTTTCATAGGTCCTCAGAAGCATAATTTTAGTTTATTTTTCTTTTCTAGAGCATGTATGTTTGTTCTTCTAGTAGGCAGTGACCGCTGGACAAAAGTGCCAATAGCTGAAATGCATCCCATTGTAACTAGCAACTGAACTGTTCTGGGCTGACCTGCTGTATTTTTCAATGGAGCTCTCTTTTCTGCTCCTATATGATTTTTCTCTTCCCAAGTCTGAACAGTCTTCCTCTTAACAATGGGTCAAAATGCATTTAAAAATAAATTTGATGAGAAATTCTCTTTGGAGCAAGTGAAGGTTTGTAGTTTCATTGTGGATCTCAGCACTGGTACATCTCTGGCTGTCCTACTATGTTGCTGATCCTAGGAATGTGCTTGTGGGTAATCCCACTGAATTCAGTTGTTCAAGGATGCTCCAACTGACACTGGCTTGCAATGCCTCTGTCAGTGCTGTTATATAGCAATGCCCTTACCCACTCCTGACATACACCACCTCCCATGTGAGCTGGGAGCAGCGATGTATAGTGAGGCAGTAGGCATAGGGTCATGTCAACTACATTAGGTTGAACATTAGGTTCAACTACATTAGGTTCACCAACTACATTAGGTGAACCCCAGACGCTCTGCTAGGGCAGCTTCTTGGCCCCTTTGTACCATAGAAGCAATGCAGTAGGGCCAGAGAGGGGCCAAGGACCTGGCCCTTTCCTTTTATTATGGAACTCAACATTTTTGCCAGTTTCTCTCTTCAGCTGTAGGTCTGTTTCCTGTAAATTAAGAAGAGATATTGCCCATCTTCCTTTCAATATTACATACTTTTAACAGTCCCAGTGAAACTGGAATACTGATTGCAATGTGTATGATTAAGTTTTGTAGCTAGGAGAAGACGTTCGACTATAGTAATCAAGTTTTCTTCCTTTTTAAGGGTTTGTTTTTCTGTGATCTTCTGATTTCTGCAGATATTCCCCAGCTTGGGTAGGTTGTTTTTACAAGCTGAATAACTGATGAAGAACCCTTCCATTGTTATGCTGACTTAATTGGACAAAAAATGATGGCACTTTTATGATTGAAGAGATGCTCAGCACACTCTGAGATACATTTTTATTCAACCCTCTAATTTAGAACAAACTTAATTTTAAAGTTACCAACTATAATTCATGCTTATTAGATTTTATAGTGTGAGACCTTCTTATGACAGAGTGTTTTACAATTTTCGGAAGAACTTTTGTGTTTAGTAAGTTTCGAATGTTAACACCCAAAGTGGATCATTCAGTTGGAATGGAAGGCAGCTTGAAATGCAAGCTACTAGTGAAGTGCCTTGATAGCACAATCAGACTTATAATTGAACCAGCACAATAGCCTATTCCAAGTATTCTAAGACTTCATTGCTGTCACCATAATCCTCTGACCTCTATCCTCTCTCCACCCACCCACTTGTTGTGTCATACCTAAAATAAGAGATTAAACTCCTTGGATTAGGAGCACGTCTTTCTGTTTGTACTGTAAAGCACCCAGCACTCTTCTATATATAATATATATATTCTATAAACTTTTAGGACAAGCTATGTTGCTCCAAAGGGTAACCTTTTCTTCCTGCCTCACAGCACTTTTCCCAGACTACATAAATTATGGTCTCTGGGGAAGAGCGACCTGAAGCATTTGATTGACTGATTTTTAAGGCCCTGATTCTGCAAGACATTTAAGCACATCCTTAAAGTTAAGGATGTGCTAAAGTGCTTTGCTGAATTGGAGCCTTCATTTGGACAATATTTCCAAGTCAAAGTTGGAATTTAGCTGGGTCTTCAGGTTAGCCTCCTTGATGAGGATCTTAGCAGGCACAAGGCATCAGATCTGTGGTTTTAGGTCTTAACTGAAAAATGGCACCTACAGAAGCACAGTCTGGACTCTAACATCATGCTCAGGCATTTATCCACTAGTGAGTGAGAGGGAAGAGTACCATATATTCCCTGGTGTATAGTTTTGAAGATCTGTTTTCTTGGAAAGACTTTTCTTCTAAATAAATAATACTTTGCCTTAAGGAAGTTGTTTAGTCACTGATTGCCGTTGTCAGTGGCTGGAGGGGAATGACCTGCGGAGTCTGAGCCTCAGTCAAGCCTGCTAAAGGATTATAGCAGATATATAGGGGTGTGGCAGGGCAACAACTCACCAGTGCGGCACCTCCTTTCAGTCATCCTGGGAATTAGCTCTTCCGGCCAGGAGCACCCTCTGCAGGCTAGTGTCTCGCCTGCCACTGGCCCCCATGTCCCTCCCAGACCCCGGTGCCCTCCTCGTCAGGATTTCGCCCCAGCAGTAACCCACAAGCCGAGTCTCCCCACCCAGCATCCCCCAACTGTCTACCCTCACCTTGCCTCAGTGGCCACTGCCAGTCACCATCTAGCCCCCGCTCCCTGGGGCAGACTGCAGTCTATGAACCACTCATCATCGGCAAGGGGGGGTGGACCAGCTGCCTATCTCTAGGCTGCCCCTCTGCAGCCCCAGTATCCTTTCATAGGCCTTTCACTAGGCCTGCAGCCTGGGGGTTTGCTCAGCTGGAGCTCCCCAGCTCCCTCTGCCCTTCCCTAGCACTGCTCTACCCTAGGTACCCTTCTTAGTTTCCCAGGCAGCTAGGTCCTTCTCTCTAGGAAGCTAGAGAGAGTGTCTCCTCACTTCTGGCCCACAGCCCTCTTATAAGGGCCAGCTGGACCCTGATTAAGCTGGCCACAGCTGTGGCTGCTTTCCCAATCAGCCTGCTTTTCCCATGCCACAGCCCTCTCCTGGGCTGCTTTAACCCCTTCAGGGCAGGAGCAGGGTAGTCACCCTGCTACAAGGGGACTGCAACTTAAGCCTAGACTGAGAGTCAGAGATATGCGAGTTTCCATCCCAAGAAAGGGGTGATGGCCTGATGCTTAGAGATTGTGCACTTGGAAAGCCTGCGGGTGTTAGAAGTGTAGTTAGGCCAGTAACTGTGACAAGAACACAACGAAACAGTGAAACCTGGTTGCAGTTATTCGTGCCTTTATCCCTTCTCAGATGGTTTACAGCAATGTGGTGTGCCTGTGCTTAGGAAATGAAAACTGATGCAGCTTGTTGCCTCGGCAAGACAGGATTGATACTGCGAACACATCAAACCTGTCCTCCACTCTCTACAACGGCTTCCCACATCATATCGAATCAAGTGCAAGGGTCTCAATGGCCCGGGGAATCTAAAAGATGATTAAAGCTCTGGGATGAAGACCCTGGTTGATAATTCCACATTTCTGGTACAGTGAAACTTCCTACAATATGGGTAAACTCCTCTGTGCAGGAGACATTTTTCTCATGGGCTGGCCCAAGACTGTGGAATGAACTCTCCCAGGAACAAAGGACTACCACAAACCTCATTAGCTTCTGCTCTAAGTGCAAGGCACATTTCTTTAACCTGGCCTTCTGTACCATAAACATATAGCAACATTGTGTGTGTGTGCATGTACGTAGTTTTAGTCATCTTTTATGTATCTTGGCCCCAGGCCACTGAGCACCTTGAAAATAAATATGGAGAACTTAAACTTGATTAGACAGTTTTTCAAATAATACTTATACACATATAGTATATGTATATACTAATACATATATAATTAGTATCATTAAAAAAATTCAAAAATAAAACAGTCCACTGCACACTCCTTTTGCTCTAGGGGGAGGATGAGCGAACCAACATAGGACAGATGTCACTTATGTCACATGATGCATTACTGTGCTCAGATACTACAGTGATGAGTGAGGTATAAGAACCCACACACAACTGAACAGAATTGGCTGCATGTCCAGCTAAATCCATCTGCCAGTACATAGCCCAAAGGAACACTGAGCTCATAGACCTGTGGTATGTGTAGATACTAGCAGGTAGACTAACCCTTTTCACAGTCTAAGATATTAGTAAAAAGAATATCCGATGAAGTGAGCTGTAGCTCACGAAAGCTCATGCTCAAATAAATTGGTTAGTCTCTAAGGTGCCACAAGTCCTCCTTTTCTTTTTGCGAATACAGACTAACACGGCTGTTACTCTGAAACCTAAGATATTAGTGACTCTGAGAACTGGTAAGATTGGCTGTGACTGTGAGAGGTGTGCAAACTGTCGATTATTGTTTGGTTAGTAATCCGATGTTCCCTTTGCCTTATTGATTATTTATTTTCCCTTGTTTCCTTTCCCCAGTAAATTGCACTCCATAGTGCTTCGCAATAGGAGTTCTTCAATATCTCGACTGTGTTGTTGGCTTTCAGAGCTATGTGTAACCTATTGTGTAAATTGTTCTTATAGGTAATGTGACACCATTGTGCTCAGACCCGCTGGTATTTGAAGGCACCATGTAAAGGATACCAGTCAGATGCTGTTGCAGGCACCCAGAAAAAGATCAGAAACAAAGTGAAAAAGAAGGTCAAAATACCTCCAACTGATACACCCAATTCCTGCAGACACATCAACTAGTGCCACCCAGTGGAACAGGGTATGTATATGAGCATATGAGTAAATATTATCTTTATTAGCAGTCCCTGGCAGCAAATTACAGCTGAATTGTAACTAGGATTGAATTATATCACACCCATTCATCACCATCTTTTTTCACTTGCTCAAAATTTGGTCAATCAGATATTTTAGGGATCCTCCTATGTTCTTATTTGAAATTTCTGTGCCTACATGACCCAAAAATAGCTGAATTGAAACAGAGGGATGAGAAATGGGATTGGGAGGGATTGGGGGACAAGAACAGAGGGGGAAAATGGGTTGCAGGAGCTAAAGGAGAGGGATCTGGGGGTATATAGGTGCAGAGGGGGAGAGCAGTAAGAGGTAGAAAGGCATAGAGGAGAAGGAGGGCAGGAGCCAAGGGTGGCAGTGGCAGGGAGATAGGAGAACAGGAGAGCAGGGATAGGCTGCAGGAAGAGAGGAGCAGTAGGGTTTATAACCACTAGAGAACACTTCCCTACAGATCTTGGAACTGAACTGGGGAGTTCTGGGTCTCTGTTTCTTTACTAAAAAGAAAAGGAGTACTTGTGGCACCTTAGAGACTAACCAATTTATTTGAGCATAAGCTTTCGTGAGCTACAGCTCACTTCATCCGATGAAGTGAGCTGTAGCTCACGAAAGCTTATGCTCAAATAAATTGGTTAGTCTCTAAGGTGCCACTAGCACTCCTTTTCTTTTTGCGAATACAGACTAACACGGCTGTTACTCTGAAACCTGTTTCTTTACTATCAGCTATGAAGCCCACTGGCAAAGGACATGTCTCATCCTCTTCTTGTGGCTGCACAATGTAGAGAAGCTGTCCCCAACTTTTGAGGGTCACACCCCCCTTTATCCCGTCTGCACCCCACCCCCCTCCCCGGAGCTGGGTGCAGGGCAGCAGCTCGGGGGGAGGGGGGGGAGAGACAGGGTAAGGCGGCCCAGGCTGGGGCCGCAGCTGGGGGTGGACCTAGGGCTAGGAGCGGGGCTGCAGCCAGGCGCTGAGACTGGGGGTGGAAGCAGATCCACAGCCGGGCTGCAATGGGGCCAGCAGTCTGGCCCACAGCCAGGTGCAGCTCCACTACTGGCCTTGTCCCCAGCGTTAGCCCTGGGCCGGGAATAGAGCCATGGCCAGCAGCCAAGGCTGGCAGCTAGCACAGAGATGGGGACGAGTACGAGTCCAGGCACTCCGGCTGAGGGTTTGGGCTCTGGAGTGGGGATGCGGTGTGGGGCGGAAGGCTCAGGTTGGGGGTTTGGGCTCTGGGGTAGGGCCTGGGATGAGAGATTTGGGGTGCAGGAGGTGGCTGGGGCAAGGTTTTGGGTGGTGTGGGATCCAGGAGGGAGTTTGGGTGCAGGTGGGGACTCTGAGCTGGGTCAACAGGTTGGGATGTGGGGTCCCAGTGACACTTACCGTGGCTCCTGGGAAGCAGGCTCCAGGTCCCTGTAGCTCCATGACTCATAGGCAGCCAGGGAGGCTCTGCATGCCACCCGCACCAGCAGGCACCATCCCCACGGCTCCCATTGGTCATTGTTCCTGGACAATGGGAGCTGTGGAGCCAAACCTCGAGGCAGGGTTAGTACACAGAGCCTCCCTTCCTGCCCATGCGTCTAGGGGTACAGGTTCCTGGCAGCTGCTTCCAGGAGCTGTACGGAGCTAGAGCAGGCAGGGAGCCTGCCTTAGCCCCGAACCTCCGCTGTACTGCCGACTGGACTTTTAATGGCCTGGCATGCCAGGGTCCCTTTTTGACCAGGCATTCTGGTTGAAAACTGGACGCCTGGCAGCCCTACCTCCCCCATGGGGACTGGCCCAGGCCCAGGCACATCCCCTGAACATTCCTCCACACTGCCCTAGGGGGTGCGCCCCACACTCTTGGGACCTCTGACATCGAGCATAATAGCCTATTACTGCTGTCAGTTACTTACTTAGACCAAGTGACAGAGGGATATAAAGGTTCCAACATGATGGGTTTCTGATTTTGAAAAACCTAAGAAATGTCACGTGAACAAGCTACATTAAAAGAACACAGTGAAAGTTGCAAAGTCAAGCACTCAACAGTTAGGAAATGTCAGAATTAAGGTTGCCTGTGCAACTTTAATTTGGTCACCTTGTGTGTATGCGTTGTGACCCATCTTTAGTTACATGATCACATGCTGGTTTTTCCTTAGGACCCCGCCTCATTTAGTGCACAGTCTGGGCCTGCTCTGGGGAGAAATCAGGATTGTGTAGTGGAGGAGGAGACATTGTCATTAAGACTCCTCATTTGTTGCAGAAGTTGGAAGGTGTGTTGTGAATGAGGTAGAGAATTTCCAGAAGAGAAGGGAGCGTTGCATGGGTGAGGCAGTTGAATGCCATCCTGGGGAACTGGATTCTATCACTGTCTGTGCCACAAAGTTCTTAGGTGCTGCTGGATAAGTCACTTAAACCACCATTTTTGTAGATGGTTACTAATTGTGTTTTCCCCATTTTCTGTACACCCAACACGAAACATCTGTGGCTTGATAGGCAGAAGTCCTGAGTTCTCACAAATGTTGCTGAAGACAATAGGAGCTGTGCTTTGAAGTGTTATAAAATACTGAATAGTCTGGAAAATCAGATTCCACTTTTTTTCAAGTGGTCCCCACTTTTGATAGTTTTACTCTTTACCTCTGTGTGTCTCAATACCCCAGCTGTAAAACTGGAATAATGATACCATCTAATCTGACAGGGATTTTGTGAAGATAAATTAGTAAATATTTGTGAAGCACTCAGATACTGCAATTTGAGTACCACAGAAGTGCCCATGAGGAAATTAATAGTTTTGTATTCAATGCAAGGTTCGCATGCTATGCATTACATAAGACCTGGGGCCACACACACAATGATAAGGGAAAGAGAACTATTGAATGATTACCCATTCACAAATGTGATCGGGTCATTAGGAAAAAATACATGATCAAGTAAAGACTGTGTCACAATGCACCTGCACAAGGGGGACAAATTAATTTGCACAGGCAGCCTTGTCTATGGCATTTTCTAATTTTTGATGGCTTAACTTTGTGACCTTAACAATCTTTTAATGTGGTGGGGTATTTGGTGGGTTTTTTAATGTCATATATATATATATATATAGTATGTGGGACTAAAAGGAATATATTATTCAAACCAGTTTGCCTATCCTCAGTGGAAACGTGTTATAGCTTGCGCAAGTCCCAAGGCAAAAGTGATAATGTCATGTAATGAATGTTATTCTAGGTTGGAAGAGATTATATTTGCTGGCAAGGCTAATGGAGAATACGAATTCAAGTATAGATGTTTTGTCACACATGCTGTTTAAATGTACCAGCTACTCACTGTTATAAATATAGCTATCCACTTTTTTCTCCACTGCAAACAAGTTATTAAATTGTGAAATGCAGGTTCAGAAGAGGAGGGAGTAGTAAGGAAACGAAATACTGCTTACATTTTTAAAGCATGATCTGAGAAATTCCAAGAACATTCATCTGAATGCTGTGGCAGGAAAGGACTTCTGACGAACAGTTTATAATTCCCATAGGAGGTATTCAACTTTAATTCATATGAATAGTCAACCTGATAAGTATAGGATGACCAGTGCTCAGCTGACAAGGCGGGGGGATTTATTCATGAGTCAGAAATGTATTTCTCATCCATTTACAACTTGTGAGGCACTTGAATTCTAGTAAGACTTTTGTGGACACTTCACATTGTTAAATGACTATTAATAATAGTACATGTAGTGTTGCTTTTGGGCTGCAAATGAAAAAACACTGACCTGCTGGCTGAATGACACCCAGATTTTATAGATGATATTATTATTAATCATTATTATTATTATTTATTTGTATTACCATAGCACCCTTTTGTGTTAGGCATTGAACAAGAAAAATATGGTCCTTGCCCCAAAGAGCTTTACAATCTAATTAGATAGGCTGAGATTTCATATGTGTATATATTCTTTTATTGCTGGCCTCAAGAAAGTGAGGGAGACCACTATATCTCTACTTTTCTCCTTCACTTTCTAATGGATAGCAGTATTTTCAAAGTCATCCAGAGGGCTTAGATGTCCAATTCATATTAATTCTAATGAGAATTGAATGTCCAAATATCTTAAGACAGCATTGAAAGTCTCAGACACAAACACCATCCTTCTCATCACTCAGGCCTGTGATCTTTAGTTTATTTTTTCTTCCTATTCCTTTGCCTACCCATACAGGCCATATCCAGATCCTAGTGTTGTTTCTTCTTCTTCAACATCTCCAGGTTCTGTCTTTTTTTTTTTCCATTCCCACATCCAAATCTCTTATTCAGACTCTCATTACATCCAGCTTTGACTACTACAGTGTTATCCTCTCTGGTCTCTCTTCAGTCCATACAAAATGTAACAGTTAAAGTCATATTCTTTGACAGTTGACTTGATCATGTCAGTCCCCCTGCAATGATGTTAGGAAGAGTATAGGGATTTAGCATTGGAAAGCGCTGGAATTATGGTGGGTTCTTCCCCAGGCCCTTAATCCTGCCTGTTTCTATAAACAGTGAATGCTTTGGTTAAGAGGGACAATCCTTGACTTTAAGTGATCTTAGTAAATATTAATTTAAGTGGCAATTTTTCAACAAAAAAAACTTCAAAAACAGACTCCAAAGAGAAACTGCAGAACTGGAATTAATTTGCAAACTGGACACCATCAGATTGGTTTAACTTTGAGATAGTGTTTCCTACGAATAGCAGTTTTTCAAATTATGATCATTATTCTTGAGTCTTCAGGATTTACCAGTAAGACTATCTTTACGACAACCAAAAAAAAAGATGGGTAAACTTAAATAGCTCATGCTGGCTGAAGAGGCAAAGAAAGACCTCTGTGCACAAAGAATTGTGTAGTTTCACAACCAGTGCTTTTTTTAAAAATTGTACATTACGTGCTGTGTCCATTTTATGAACAAGTTGAGAACAATCTGGGTCCCATGGCATTTACAGAACTTAATCAGAAGAGGTGCAAGAGAAAAAAGAAAAAAGGAAATTAAATCGCATAAGAGACAATTGAGAAAACTCAAAATGTAAAGATGCCGTTTGTGCTAAACCTTTTTTAGTATAGGATTAAGTGCAATAGAAATTTAAAATTATGTAAAGGGAAAGGGATAAAGAGATGATCCAGGATGATCTTGCTGTGTTGTCAATGATCTTGTCCTTACATCTAGCAACATAATGTGCCACATCCTCAGTTGGTACAAACTGGCATAGTTCCATTTACCCTATTAATGTGTACGTATTTAATTTTAATTTACAAGGAAGCATAATATGCATATGTTGCCTGATCCTCAACTGGTGTCAATTAATGTAGCTGCATTAAAGGCAATAGAGCTGTGCTGATATGAAAAAGCTGAGTGTCAGGGTCCAAAAATGTTGGTTTTGAAATGCCTGAACTAATATTTGAAATCTTGCTTTTACCAATAGTGATGTGCAGCTTTAGTTTATAACTGCACTTCTATCCCATTGTTTGGAAAAATACACTTATTTTAGTGTTGTCAGACATACTGACACATGTCACTCATTTAAATGGGCTGAAATAACAGTGAAAGAGCAAAATAACAGTCCAGCGGTGAAATCAGCATGCCGCCATCACAGAAAAATAATTTTGGATACACATTTTGTGATCCTTGCTGCTGGCCAAGTCATGCATGCTTTGTTCACATGAATATCCCTATTGATGTCAATAAAACTACTTGTATGAACAAAGATTTGGCCCCAGCTCCTACAGTAATGTTATGTATAGCTGTAGAAAGAAGTGAGTAAGGTGAATTGATTGCAGGTTGTTTTGCACTTAGCCAAATGCACTGACAATCTGATTTTAAAAACTGGCAAGGAAATGGTCTTTTCCCCACTTCTACTCTGTGCTTGCTTAAATAATGGCTCCTACTTCTGGAAACTTCTTCCTGTCTTCATTCTCCAGGCAGCTTCTCTCCCACTGTTCCAATTTCTCCTTGAAACCCATCTGTCCACACAATTTTTTCTTATCATCAACAGTCCCCACACCCTCTCTCTTTCAAATTCACCTTGTTTGTCTTGTCCAGGTGGTTCTGTCTTTGTGATAATTTTTCTCTTCCTCTGAATATGAAACACTGTGTCAATGTACATCATCACATAAATGTTTTATAATGCCCTTATTACTGTGCATTCTTGTTGTGGTCAGTGGAACACCTGCACTATTACAGGTCAGCGTTGTGATCCGTTATCCACCTCGCAGACCAAAAAGATCCAGATTGCTTTGGATCATAGAGCAGGTGGAGGTTTTCAAGGGAGGCCCATTCTGTGATCTGCTCCCTGGCTGTCTCGTTTAAGCAGAATCCCCAGTCTTTCTGATGGCTGTTAAAGTCACCTATGTAGATGGCCAGATGAGGAAAGGAAGGTAAGATGGGATCAGGCCACATGATGTGAGGTGGCTTGTATATGTTTACTATAATGATGTCCCTAATTCTAACCATGTTGATCTCTCTTCCACTGGTCAATGATTCTTCCAAAACTTCCACATCTTCTAATTCATTTCGTATGTACACTGCTAGCCCATGTTTTGGATGATTGACAGCAGCAATTTTGCTTTAGCCATAGATTTTATGTCTGACAGCTTTATCTTTTTCTTTCACATGTGGTTCTTGGAGGGCCACAATGTCAATGTGATAGTCTTTGAGGGTCCTCAAGAGGTGATCCACTTTTCCCTGGACATCCCTTCTACATTCAGTTGGTATATTGGAGGACTGACCTTTTTGGTCCTGGAAAGGGCGGTTTGAGGAAGTATAATCATTGCTATGTTCACTGGGAGGTCGGTACAATGACGTCCAGTGGCCAACTGATGACATTGGTATGTTCGTGCTTCTCAGAAAATTGGCCGAAACATCATGGAGCTCCAGACCATGGACCTTACAAACTGCAACAATTGCCTTGGTATAGTCTGCAGCTGAATATTATGCACCAGTGTGGTCTCATAGCAGTCACACTAAACTCCTTGACACTCAATTCAATAATGCTATGTGCACAGTGTTGGGATGCTCAAATCTACTCCAGTTGACTGGCTCCCAGTTTTATTGCACATCCAGCCTCCATAGATTAGAAGAGCTGCTGAGACGTCTCACTTTCTAAATCCTGTCAATGCAAAAATGAGGATCCCACTGCACCATGACCTGCAGAACCCGCCAAAGACTAGATTAAAATCCCGCAACCCTCTATGGAACCATATCAAGATCCTTTCACCCAACTTTGATGCTGAGGCTAAATGGACAGTCAAATGCAGCACTTTAACCGCTCAAAACAAAACTTTGTCACTGATCCTGAGAGGAACCACCGGGTGTTGATTTATATCGGAAAGACTGGTGCAGATTGAATTGCATCAGGACATCTCATGGGAGATGTGGACAAACCCTCTTTAAATGTAAAATGAGGAAAACACCTGTATGTGACTGTGGTCACCAGGCACAAATGATAGAGCACAACATATTTGAATGTCCCCTTTGTTTCTTTGGCAGGGGCCTGAAGGACATTCACCAGCTCACTGCTGCAGCAGTTTGATAGCCAGCCAGATATTATTTTGTAGTTGTTGCTACCTACCGTAGCCATATGAAAGAAGAAGATGACTGTGCATTAGGTACTGTTTTAAATCTAACCCCATATGCAAAGTGATCTGTAATTATGGTTGCCAACCCTCCAGGATTGGCCTGGAGTCTCCTAAAGATTATGTTGTGTAATGAAATCTCCAGGAATACATCCAACCAAAATTGGCAACCCTACCTGTAACCATCCTGTGGTATTTGTGTACGATGATGTATTGCACTGTGTAACAGGGTTCATACTTCATCTCTGGATATTTGGCCCCGAGCCTCCCTCTTCAATGAGTCAGGGATACTTCAGTCTGGTTGGAACATCCATGCTCTTTATTCTCCAGAGGCTTCCCACCACCAGTTCCCAACTATATACAGGCTTCACAGCTATTTTGCCTACAACAGGGCTAGCCAGCAACAGACTCGGAGGCTACCACTTCCTTCTGTGCCTGAGCTTTTTCTTTCCCTCTCCCCACTTCTCTGGCTTCCTCCAAGCCTTTATAGCTCTGGGCTAATAAGACTGGCAGGTGCTGCCAGTTACCAGGCAGGCACAGGGCTATTCACCCTGCCCCAATCCATTCCCCTTGTTTGGGGCTGGAGTGGCAGGAGCTGATTAGGGGCTTCTCAACCAGCACCCTGCCACACACTGACTTCCTTCAGGAAAAACGGAACTATATACAGAAAAAAAAATCAATTAGTTAATTTTAAGAATTTAAACATTGTTCCGTGGTTATATTTTCTATTGGTGTGACATTGTAAATGGCCTCAAACGTCCACCAAGCTTTATGTGGACAGACCCATGTAAGCATCCGGAAGTCCAGTGTGGCTCAAATCTGCCTGCATGGAGCTCTGTGCAAGATTTCTATATGTAGCCTTTATTCCATAAAATAATATTTCTCATTGTATATATGTTCATGTTAACAGGCGGCTGCTTCCTGAGTGCCTCTTTGTGGCTGGGGTGTCCCTGCCTCATTTCCCCCTCTCTTATGAAACTCCTCAAGAACTCCATATCACA